GAATGAGATATCAGAGCTATCTTCAGGTGTGAATGAACATTAAGAAATGATGATCCTGTTAGTTTAGCTTTGGGCTAATATCAATTTTACGCAACAGATGCCCAAAAGAGAGTTGCTCCTAGTTTACCTGGAAAAAACTGAGCTAAGCCACTCAATTTCATGCAAATATCCTTGGTAATAAAGAATGAAAGGAAGGAACTGAGGACAAGTGTGATAAATAAAAGGAATGTTTAGCAAAGTTTTCAGGAGACTACCAGCAGCTGTCTCTAACACGGATATCCAACTGATCAGCTGAGTGAGTTATCCGGCTGTTGTGACAGCTCATGACTTTGCTGTGCAACATCTGTCATTTCTTTACCTTAAGATCCTCTCATACAAGAAAAAACTTTCACTTAATCTAGTTACTTTTTATGCACATAACTATGGGTTTATAACAAAAATAAAACGGAAAAAAAAGGTAACTGACTGATTAACATTTACACGATAAAGAGCTGAACATGTACATCTATATTACTCGGTAAGGCCCCAGCACATTAAGGCCATATGGAGTAATATAGCTTTGCTTACTGCAGTAAATCAAAAAACAAACACATCATTCCCAAACTCCACAACCATTTATGCTTTCAAGGTTTCATGTCTTAGGAAGGCTACCAGCTCATATCCTTGCAATTTAAGTCGGTTAGAAAGCTATCTAAGGAAGATTTGTATTTATACTACACCTATTTCTTGTTGCACTCTTCTGGGGATGCCAGAGATGGTTTTCCTCCTCCTCAACTTTCGTCTCCGCTGTAGTACAGATTGTGAATGAACAAGAGAGCAGCGTATACTAGCCTCTCTGTCAAAACCAACTCCTGCAACCCATAAATAGGTCTCATTAGCCTTTAGAAATAGTAAACAAATGTTCATGGCTGGAACACAGTGGAGGTATGTGAGCTTGGATTAAGCCTGTGAATAAACATAAGGGAGCCCTTATGCAGCTCTTATGCAAATTATATTACAGTATATCACAGTTCGCTTTACATCTAATTCCAGCTCCCTCTCAGCAGTCTGGTTTGCCAAAAGTAACAGGAGTAGGAAAAAAAAAAAGAAAAAGAAAATTAGGAACGAAAATAGAGTTGAGAGCTCTCGATAGCAGGGCATTTTTTCTTATAGCTTTCTATCTATCTGTCACAGGCACAATGACAGTAACTTTTCTGCAAAGAGTAATCTGTTCAGCTATAGTCTGACTCATCTTAAAAAAACTAAGCATAAGAAAACAGTTTAGGTTGTAATGCCATATTGCAGTAGTTTGATGCTACTTAGGAGCCCAATATGCAAAGGATGCTAACATTTCAAAAAGGAAGAAGACAGCTATAGTGGGGCCAAGCCCACGGGCAAGTTTAGAGAGCATTCTTCTTTACTATTATTCATGGTCGAGAATGAAATAAATGGGCAGCTAACGTTTTTATGTATCAGTAAGTGGCCTGACGTTCCCAACTGCGCAGCACACAGCAGGACGCCATGGGAGTTCATGGTGGACAATGAGCACTTTGAGACCCAGGTCATACATTGAAGAACCTAAATTTGGATTTAGGAGCCCAAGCTCACATACACATTTATTTATAACTGTGGTCACACAGAAGAGGCAAGAACTCGTCATTTTCTTTATGCTTCCACCGCATTACCACAGGAAAGTCTCTTTCGCTTTGTTTTCTACACTGCGGTCAATATAAATGGAGGACAGCCAAACGACCAGTGCCCAGCTGTACTGGCTTTTGGCACAAGTATACCTTCGTGCTCTCTAAAGTTGGCATGGGACAGGTTGGAAAGAAATGTGCCAGGTCCATAAAAACACTAACATAAGGATTGCTGGTACAGTGGTTTGTAATCTTAAGAGAAACAAATGAAATAAACCAAACAAAATGAAAATTAAAAATCCTGATAAAAATCTCCATTTTTATAGCGTATAATTATATAAAACATAATTATACACAGACATACACGTACATATTACACTACATAACAATGTAAAACATTAAAAAGTAACTTTCTTGTAAAAGTTCTTCTTGAAATCTACTACAGTGAAATAGAGGCTTCAGACAGATGTCCTGTAACCACCAATGCCCCTGAAATAAGCAGAGGAAGAACTTTCTTTAATACGGAGCAAAAGTGCTGTAAACTCCATTAACAGTCATTTTTAAAAAGTGAACATTTCTCAGGGTTGGGAGAAGCTTAAAAGAAAAAAAGAAAAAGAAAAAGAAAAAAGAAAAATGAAAGCAAACTCTGTTCAACGAAAATCATTCAGCATCACTGCTGGTGCTCCAGCAACCGTGAGTTATCTGAACATGCTCGGTGTGCCGGATGCACAGGGTCATCGCCGAGAGGAAAGTGGCAGAGGGTATATCATCCTCCCCGTGACGCGTACAAACTATTCCCATTAGTGCCAATGAGAATGATACACATACACATCCAGAAGATTACATACCATTCTTGATCGGTAAAACTGACCAGTGGGAATTTGGTTCCAAAGTATGGCAGGTGGAGTCTAGGCAAAAATCGCTATTACTGGACAAGTTAGCATTGCTCCCAGACCTAACGCCGCGCTCTCCTCTAAGCCGCGGGACGTGACATTGGAAAACCAGCATGGCCAGGACAGGCAGGCGCACAAGTTAAGGGCCTGGGTTACACTGGGGGATGAGCAGCACCTGCACGCCAGCTCTACTGGGGGCAAACCTACCGCCCTAGCCATCCTCTCCACCGGGATCACTGTCTGGAGCGCCCGGCCTCGACCTCCACCACGTGGGCACCTGGGTGGGCGCTGGTTGGGAGCGTGGCCAGTGCCGGGTGCCCCCCGGGGCTGTGGAGCCTCTGGCTTTGCCGAGCCCCTGCGCCCTGAGGGGGGCCAGACCCTGGCCGGCCGTGACCTCCCACCCCCCTCTGGATATTGGAAAAACACAATGAAATGCAAACATTTGCTCTAAAGGCTAACTGAAACCTCTCCACTTTTTCTTTTTTTTTTCCTGGTGATTCATATTCAAAGCTGGTAACTGTGGAAGCCAGCCCACTTTATGCTCTTACATTAATGAAAATTTGGTGCAAAATACTCTCGAGGAAAACTCAGATAAACTTTATGTTTACCATAGCCCTCTGGAAAGAGAGAAAGAGAGAAAGAGAAAAAGAGAAAAACAGCCTGGTTTTTGATTCAGGAAACAAGTTATCATCTATCACAGTTAATAAGTTATATACCTCCTGCTTATATAAACAATTTCTTCTTCAAATTAATCTCGTAAAACGTATGCAAACATTATATAAACAAAAGAAGATGCCATTACTATACCTTCAGCATAGCTGCATGTAAAGAGATCTCAGAGCGATGGTTTGCATGCTACACATTCATGACTTGCATGTTTAAAGCACTGCAAATAGTAGCCTACATTCTCTAGTTTCTCTTCTCCTGCTACACATGATAATCATATGATTAATTTCCGTGGCTTTCTGCATTATTTCAGTCAGCTACATTCAAAAAGTTAGTTGAGGTCTTTGGAAATACAGACTCTACATTATATACACAACAAAAGTACATCGCTTATACAGGGAAACAGTGTTATGTGACACTGCATAACGGGATTCAACAGCTATGGGCCAAATTAACCCCACATATAGCTTCAGTGACTTCAGTGGACATGTATGAGAGACGCATTTAGCCCACTGTCTTCTACAGTCTAAAGCCTCAAGCAAGGGTCTTTGCCCGCAGACTGTACAATCTAGTGACTTGAAATAAATTAAACAAAGTTAAGTACTTGATCTCCCTTGAATCATGCAATAAATATAAAAATAAATAGAAGAGATTTGTACCAGTGACATTGATGGGGATAATGCAAGAAGAAATCACTTGGGCGTCTTGTTTCATTTTCTCCTCTGGTGTTGGGAGAGGTAGTGCTTTACTCCAATTGGTTTGTTTATCCAGTGTAGAAGGGATATTATGTATTGGATTTTTCGGCCTCTGCCCTAACATGACATCTGTATCTTCGTCCTCTGGTGGACGGGACTGCAAATGAATACATTCAAAATCAGTGTCTACCATTCAGGCATAGGAGGCTACTTTTGAAACAAAGCGGACATACAGATCAGAAACCAATTACAGGGATGCGATGAAGAATTGTTCTGGCTAAGTCAAACAGTACAAGCTATTCTCCCATGGATAAATAGCATACAGTTAATATGAAAAAAATACCTTAACATACTGGAAACAATTCAGCGTATTTACAGTGACATTTCCCGGACATCTTTTCAGTCAGAAGGGCATGTCCTTCATGCCTGTGTATTTGCTTCAAGCACGCGCTCAGTTACTGTCAGCGTTAGACACCTGAGTCCTCCTTTGCATCTGCAACCTTTGGAACACGCAACTCTGCTGATTACCAGTGAAAGCTGGCCCCACAGCAACGTTCATTTGAGGACAAGCATCAGAAGGCCTAATGCTTTGAAAAGATCCATCCACGCTTCAGAAAATCATTTGCATTTCATTTTAACCAACTAAGAATATGACCAGAAAAAAGGTACAGAACAACAGCTATAAAGTTGGAAGCAGCAGGTGTTGACAGCGTCGGCGTCAGAAGGATATTGGCCAAACAGAAGATTAGCCTCCACCAGAAGAAATGCAGAGAGTTATTTAGAAACCACGCAAATATTTAGAGCATGCTACGAAAAGCACTGCACACTGAAGATAAAGACACGGAGAAGTAAACTGTGCAGAAGAAACACAGGTGTTTTGTTGCGTTTCAGAAGCAGTATTAAATCCCCAAGCTACACCCTGTCCTGCAAAGCTGTTACCATTTCGTCTAGTAAGAGAGAAATAACCACTTTTTTATGTGGTAGCTAGCTATCCAGTCATGTTTTGAAGTCTTGTTTGTAGAAAGAAGTTTCCATTTTGTTTGGAAGAGATGGGGGGGAGAAACACTCACCTTTCCTCTGCCTAATTCTCCTCCCTTGTTCAGTTAATACATTCGTCTACAAGCCGTGACAATTCCTCAGCTAGCCTGGGAAGCCTGCCTGCCTCTCTTTTCTAAAAATAAAGTGCAATACCTTTTAGGCTGATTTCTTTTCAGTCCTGAATTCCCAGCTGCTTGACTGCCAGGGTTCCCCCTCATGACTGCTGTCTACACGTTATCGGCCAGCTTTCGTGTGGGCAGCAAGCAGGGTTAAGACAAAATCCCGCTCGGCCTCTGGTGGGGACTGTGCTCGGCAGGCAGTTGTTTACCAGCACATGCTCGCACCCAGGCTGCCCTTGCACTTCTGCCATTCCTCCTTGCAGAGCTCGCACAAATCCTGCGGGAATTCACCGTCTCAAGCTTGCCAAGGAGCATTTACGAACCAGCTCTTAGATCTTAAGGCAGCAGCTACTGTTTAAACTATCGGAGGGCGCTCGCTTACCTTGTCAGCGTGGCCTTCGGGAGCACCCCCAGACCCAAGAGAACAGATGCTTCCTCTTCCCCCTCTGCGAAACCCCCTTTTCCCCCCACGTACGATCTTAGTGAAACATTGCAGCCTTCTTTTCTCTCTCCCTGCAGCTTTTGTGCCGATCCCCAGCAGACGTGAATAGCTCATATAAACTTCAAGCACAAAAGACTTTGTTTCCTAGGTAACTCCCCCCCCCAAAAGTTTGATGCATGCACGCAAAAAAAACCCCCTACACGCACACGCACATGCACACACACACACACACACACACAGAGGGAGAGCCTGCGTTTTCTGCTGATTTCTTCCCTGAATAACAATGGCCGGCTGGACAAAGCGGGTGAAATGACCTGCCTGCCGGCTCTGTCTGCCAGAGCTCCTCTTTAGCAAACGATGGGATTAGCAACTTTCCAGAGAATAAATACAGGCTTTCGCACTGGCATCCTCTGAACCATTTCTTACCGTTCAAGGAAAAAAAAAGAAAAAACAACAGACGGTTTGGCAAAAACGTTGCAAGAGAAGGAAATGCGATTGCTAATGCTACAGAGTGTGCCCTGGGTTGGGCCTTTGAAAAAAGGCAATAGGAGGAGGTGGCCTTGTGGCCGTGAACTCCTGAAACTGATCCAAGATGAAGAATGACAGAAGGAGAAAAAAAAGTCATTGTTGTGCCTTATTGACATGAGAAAACAGCAAAGGCTTCTTTTTAACATGGCGCAGTAAAGTTAGCAAGTGAAAAGCAAGCAAGAGGAAGGGTTGGGATCCGGAAGGGAGAAGAGTGAGACAGGGCTGTTAATTGAGGAATGCTTGTTTTTCCAGTACCTTTCTACTCCATGGGGTCATGTGGCAACACTCAATTGGGGAGGGCGAGCGGGTGCTGTTAAACTATAAATGTGAAATGTAAAAAAAAAAAAAAAAGAAATTAAAAACATACACAAAATGTTTCTGGTCACAGCACATCATATTCATCTAGATAAACGAGCATCAGAGGCAAAACAAGCTGAGATTTCCACCTCTATTTCCAGCAGATATGTTTATTCCCCAGAACAGACTGCTTCTCTACAAATGCAGCCCCGTCCCATGCAACTCTGCCTAGAGAGATGTCTGGACCCATGTGAAGTCTGTGCTGATCTTGCTTACTCAGATTAGACCCAACTGCTGTGAAATTGGTTCAACCTCTGTGTGGACATGCTTAAGTTGTCCTAAAAATGCCTTAAGTTAATTTGGAGGAACTTGGACTGTATACTGACTGAAGCCCAATCAGTGCAAGGCCCTTATCCAATCACATTATCTGTTTCATAATGTAAGGAAATCTGTTGCCTGATCCATTTAAGAAATGGATGTAAATAAGGCTAGTCCTGTGGATGATTTATCAAATAGGCTGATTGTTAAGGCTTTCTTACATTACATTTTATCATGACAACTGCTAAGGTTGCAATCATTGTGTCAGGATGACAACAGCCAATTGGCTTTTTGTACCTTTTTATAATGCTTGAAAGGATAAAGTGAGATGCCCAGAATGTCTTAAGTCTCACTGAATCCCTGGAGCTCTGAAGACCTTTTACATTGGGAAATGTTTTGTATGTTGTAACGTCCTGCTTTCAAAACCTATGAGCCAAGAATGACCTCTTTTGAAACTAAATAAAAAAGATAAAGAAAACATGACTGTTGATAGCACTGAAAAGCTGTAGCAAGTGTTCCTGGCAGGAGGTGTGTGTGTGTGGGGGGGGGGCGGTTATCTGTGGCTCCCCTTGTGCCGGTTTTAGACCTGCCAGAAGATCCTATGATCGTTTTCCTCCTAATCATCATCAGCGCCACTCTGATGGATATACCACAGACCTCAGTTTGAAAGACTTTGCATTACATGGTCCCGTCTCAAAAAAAAAAAAAAAAAAAGCTGTGTTGAGGCTTCAAAGACCTCATTCTTAGTCTCATCCTACTCTGTTCTGAGATACATAACACTTCCAGCTTTATCCTGCTCCCATGTACAAGACTAAAAGCGAGTGAAGCCTCCAAACGAGCTGTGCATAAGTCTTACAGGAGAGCAGAGGGAGAAAATAAAAAAGAATTGCTTCCAGGTAACGTTTCTAGCAGGCCAGCCAGGTTACTGCAAAACCAATTCCAAGCTGGGACAAGGTCCTTATTATGGGATAAACACTTCCATTAGTGCAGCAACAGGTGCAGAGGTAATATATCAATTTAAGCCTACTCTTCAGATATGCAAGGATGATTTCACCCTTCATCTTCCGGTCTGGTTTTCGGGAACCTGCTCTGAGCAGATTTACCACAGTTAAAAGGATCAGTTTTTGAACTGAAATTCAACTTGCCCATGGAAGGTGTCAGAGGATCTCTGTGGAGAGTTGAGCTTGGTGGAGACAGAAGCTGCTGAGGTGATGGAGTTCAGAATACAAAAAATCTTCTACATCTGCTAAGGGTTACACAGAGGACCACTGTGGTAGTGGTCCGTGCACAAGAATAAGGAGATGAGGAGGGGCCTCCTGCCCCCGAGCTCTGAGCACAGGTAGACGCACAAGCTGCCCTTGGGCAAACAACCCCTGGACAAACTGTGGGGAGCTCAGCTTTGGCCATCGGGAGACTAGCACAGGCTACAGCTGATACAAAAGCTGACTATATATCCTGTTGGTGCAGGGTTCCCATATCTGCCTGTCAGGAGTTGCTGACTCCTCTGAGAAAGCATACGTGGACCCAAAGAGATCAAAGCCTTAGGTCTCTATTTAAGCACAGCAGAACAAATTTCCTAGACTAGAGTCTCCCGTGCTTCTCAACATGAAAGCAATAAGAGCTAGGAAAATCAAGGGCTGTGAGTGTCCCTTTTTTACTGTGCCGTAGGGACAGAGAACAGGAGAGAAGGATTAAGAAGAGGTTGGACAAAAATGGAGGCAGGTCCCAAATGCAGGTTACAGGCAAAATTTCCGCTCCTACTGTCACAGTGGTGCTCCTGAAAATGCCTGTGCCATTGCTATGGCACCAAGGGGTCCCTGAGGTCTCTTACTGCCTGTTCCTACATGGTGCCCAATGCAGTGGCAGCTGAGTCCCTTTTGATTATAGCAGCAGTGTAATCATTGAAACAGCTCCTAGCTGGGGAAGGGAGAGATCTGTTTTTCTTTAAATGTTCTCGTCCAATGCAGAAGACCAGAATATCTCTAAATGTCTTGAGTAAAAACATAATTAAGGAAGAAATTATTATTATATACCCAAGGCTGTTCTGGTCTGATGGGCGAATCTGCAGTTAGGCAGTTTTCAAAGTGAATTTCTTTTATGTGCAAGTACACACTTGGCCAACAGCAATGGTGATAATCAATCTGTTAGATACAAAGCCAGAATACTTTAAAAAGGCATCTTCTTTAATGGCCTAGGATTGCTTTGAGACCAAACTGGTGTATAATTGCTTGAATGGGGATTTATTTTGCAGTCACCGACAAATGAGAGCATCTTTATTTGCCTAAGCTATCCCATCGGCTTCACTTGCAGAGGTGTCATTGCAAACGCTCTTGAATCTTTGCTTTGCAGTAAAAATCTTAGTTGCATACGCACATCATCAGATTCCTCTGTGCTCTGCATCTCTTCAGTGGTAAAGTCTTTGGTTTCTCTGCGCTACAACAAAAAAGTCAGATGTCTAAGCCTGAGCTACTCAGTTAGGCTCCCTCTATACAGAAACAGCAAGAGACATTGCCACTGAGCAGTTCAGCTCCCCTTCCTTCAGCACCTAACTTGAGGTGAGATGAATCACTTCTGAATACTCTCCTCAGTGATTTTAAGAGAAGCTTAGGGTTACTTGCAGATACCTAAGCTAGGACACATGCATCACCCTTTTAGCTAATGAAAATCTTAAACCTCATCAGTGCAGTGACAAAGAAGCAATTTTGCAGGCACAAACTTCCAGCCTGATAATTTATAGGCCAACCCCATTTATTGTCCCAGAACTGGGATCAGAAGGAGGAAATGAATGGGCCAATAACATTACAAAAATAGCATTTAATTCCCTCTTTTCCACCCCCCAAAGCTCTGAGATGCCCCTGTTGTTTAGGCTCTTCAAGTTATAAAGGAAGGCTAGTGCAAGAAGCACCCTTTGTGTTAGATGATGTATGTAGCCTTATTTCTAGTGACAGCGTTACAGGAAATACTGTGATTTTGAAGTTAGTGCACAACACATATTGAACACAGTGCAAAGGCAAAGGGAAAAACATAAAACCAAGAATGAAGCAATAATTTTTCTTCAGGTAATTAAAGATGTTTTGAGAAACCTAGAGCATTTTCAAGAGCTGTAAGCATTTATCCTCAACATGTTCATCTGATCTAGACCTGATGGAGTTGATTCCTTCCCCATCCCCCTCAGCATTAGTCTAAAAACTGTGCAGACCTTGCATGTTATCTCACAGAAATCTTGGTGGCTGACTCACAGGCCCTGCAGCACCAGGCTTAAGCTGGAGGAGCCGACAAAGCCTTGATGAGGGGAGGCGCTGGCTAACAACACATCTGTATCTCTAGAGGATTATTTTTTACTCCTGCTGCCTAAAAGTCACAGCTAAGAGAAGGGCATGTGGGAGCAATCTTATTTATGACTTCAGGCTGCTATAGCAATGGGTAGAGAAAATCTCCCTCCTAGGATGACCTTATGAATAAAGTGGGTGTTATTCACCCTGAGCACAGCATTAGCGTATAGCTTAAGCTTCAGTAAGCTTCATATATAGCCTATTTCTAGCAGCGAACAGAACACCTGCAGGAGGCCTTCACCCGAACTGAACACAGAAATAATATGTCCTCATTAACAGTACAATCTGGCTTTGCATTTGAAAACAAGCATGCGGATGTTGGAAAGGTAACATGCAGAATAAAGGTGAACTAGTGTTTAATCCCAGGATTGCCCCAATCTAAAACTGACTCCTTCCGTGGCCCTGGCTGAAACCTCCCTGTCTCAGTTTCTCTACCTGTAAAATGCAGAGCCTGCTACTTCATTAACTCACAGGAGTTCAGGAAAAAGGCATACCACACATGGTATTCCAGCAGCTGAAGGACAAAATAAAAATCTCATGCTACAGGATAGTAGGTGTTATGCTTATTGCGCACATTGTACTATGCAAGTTCATTCTGATGAATTACATCAGATAGCTTTTGTTTTTAAAGAACGATAGACAGGATTTGCACATAGAAAATGCATAGCCCCCAAAATACCTGGCCCTTAACTTGGTCGTTCTTTGCTGAGGTTAAGTACAGCTTCAACACAAGATTGTGGGAAAGTTAGTATGTGCAATTGCCTTTCCCTTGGCTAGGCAAAGCAGTCTAAGACAGACCACAGGGAATATTTCTGAATTGGCAGGGAGATGGAATAAATAACCTGATGGGTTATTTCCATTTCACATTTGCTCTAGCTAGGTCTCAGGGAGAGGCAAAACTTGCCTGGAAAACAGAAGCCTCCTGCTTCTTCACTCTTAAATCCTGGCCCAGGTTCTAATTGTAAACAAACGGATACTGAACTTTGTGCAATTGTGAATATGAGTTTCCAAGTATTATAGGTTCCTTGCTTAACTTCCCTTATTTTATTACAACAGTCCTGCCAGGAGGTTTGGGAGAAAGTGTGTTCTCATGACATCTGAATTCTGAAGCTGAGCGTTGGGCATTTGGAGCTTCACTGGACGGAGCTGGGAAAACCAGAGAAAGGAAAAACGTGAAGAAGATGAAACAGAAGTCTGAACTGCAGTTAGAATGACACAGCATCTTCATACTCAATGACTGGCCTCAGCAGTATTACAAGGAAGGTTGTCATGGGAACATGTGTAAGGAACATTTCCCTTATTTTCACAAGTCTGCACCTTCCTCAGATTATGTTTTGTTTTCTTCATTGGCAAAAATGGCTGAATGAATGGTACTTATAAATCTGTTTGGGTGTACAGAGAGACTAAGTAGGCTGGAATTTTTCAGCTTGGAAAATGAACGACTGGGATGTCTAGGAGAGTAAAATCATGCCTGCAAAAACAGATATGGAGAAAGCGAATGGGAAAGTATTATTCACTATTTGTCATAGTCTAAAAACTAGAAAGCATCCAATGAAATTATGAGGCGTCAGGTTTAAAACAAACACAGGATACATTTTCATTCAGATTGCTGAAGTCATTGTCACAGGATGCTGTTGAGGCTAAAGGTATAAATTTGCTAAAAAAATGGATTAGACAAATTAAGGGTGGACTGGTTTCTCTGTGGCTATTATTCTCTATCTGATTTCTGGCTCAGGAGCTCTGTAACCAATTACGGCATTAAAGTGGAAGGATAAATTATAGGAAGGTTCACTCTGTAATGCCCCCGTTTCCTGAAGGATCCTCTACTGGCCTCTGGGCTAAGGGGACCTTTCATCAGACAAAGCAGCGCAGTTCCTGTAACAAGTCTAGACTGTAAAGCTAGCTCCAATCATTTCTTGTCTAGGATACAAAAGATCCTATGACATGCAGTAGTTTGCAGTAGCAGTTCTCTGCTTCCTCTCCATGATAAAGTGATTGTGTGATGGAACAGTCAAAAATGGCCTTCTTGAACCACTTACGCTGCTATTAGTCATTTTGGATTATAATTTCATTTGATCTTTCTTGGAACTTGTGGCAGTTTGGCATCTTTCTCCCTGTGCAAATAGGCCACGCTTAAAAGTGACTCTTCTCTGTTATGGTTGAGTTTCTCTGTTGTTACTATAAAAACGCAGGGTCTTTGGAACGGCTGATGATAGCCACCTAACTGTAGCAAAAAAACCAGCCTAGAAGCCTGTGCTGGGCCAGACATAAGTGATGTGGTTTTCAGCAGCTTTTAGCTTTCACCGTTCACACAGAGGTAGTTTGAAGTTTTCTCAAAATCAAGCTACGTTTTTCAGTGCCTTAATGTATATCTTTAACTTGGGCGGCCAGTTTGGAAAAATCAGATCTTGTAACTTTTTAAAATTTCCAAGCTGGGAAAGTTGATTACTTTCCCAATTTATGAGACACACCTAAAGTGACTTTTACTGTTGTTTCATATTCCTTTCAGCAGCGCCTTCCCAATGCATCAGAAAAGAGGAATACAGAATAGACTGCTCTTCCACGAATAAAAATTGTTGTGGGATTTAACATCTTTAGTTCACTGATGAACAGACAATCAACTGGCATCAAATATCAAACGTAATCAACAGCCCCTGAAGCATATACACATTTGCAGGTGTCAAAAAGCTTACACTGAAAAGGGCAAGCTAGCCAGTATCAGCAACTTAAACTTTCTCTTGTAATGATATCATTAACTCATGAAGACTGGCACAATATCAACTAGCTATTAACTGTTGCAGTATCTTTTAAAAATCTCTGATTAACCCTTTACCAGATAGAGCATTCATGTGCAGTTGCATCTTGCCTTATTATCCCTTTTAACATTTGCCACCTGAACAAGGCATTCTCCAAAGAGTGGGTCAAGGCACTCTGGAGTACTCTAGCCTGGAAATAATTATAATTGCTAAAGCAGAACATTGCCAGATGACTTGAAATCAATAGCACTGCAACCTCCAAGTAACTCTCATTTGCTCCTCCTTAGGGGAACACTGAACCTGGTTAGCTTCCCAAAACAATGGGCATAAAGCTTAATATTTTCTCTCTCGAAAAGAAAAAGGTGGACTTGTTGGTAAGGCCAAGAAGTCTGTATTCAGCATGACTTAATTTTGCCAATTGATACAGGACTCAGAGGGTTGGTCATTACTTATTATTAGTTTGTGTTACGGATGGACGTAATGTTGAAAATGCTTTGGTTGCGTTTGCACAGCAAAGATTCAGGCCTTTCACCACTAAGTATGCAATTTCAAAAGACACGCCTTGTTCCCCATATGATACTAACTAAGAGAACTTTATGTTCTATATATTGTCCAAACTATTGTTTGCAACCTATTCTGGTGCATAACCTGGGGTCATCTCTCCCGTACCTTTCAGTGAGCCAACAACAGCACTATCTTTGGTAATGCGTTATAAAGGAAAGGAAGCCTGTTTCTTCTTTATGTCTTCTTACTCTTTTCTATGCTATCTCCTAATCCCAGAACATCTTTTTCAACTGATTCGTAAGGCCTAAAAATTTAACCTGTTCAAGGCTCACAGGTGACGCTCTTTGAAATTATCCAGATAAGCAGCAAAAAAACCAGAATAGTCATGCTAATCCAAACCTTATCAGGCCCTTCATGCTTTCTAAGGAGAAACAAAACTCTTTATATTATATAGACTAACTGCAGGTTTGGTCTCCGGACAGGTGCTTTACACTGTGACTCCTTTACCATTACGGCATTTCTATATCGTTAATATAATGGATTAAGATGAATGCATTTGGATTTTTAAGCTAAGTAGGTGACTAATCAGTCAGTAGCTACATATCTATAATGTGCTCATGGCGGTAGTACTTCTGTAGATTTGAACCAATACATGGAGGTTAGATCTATCCTTACGCTGAGGGCAGCCGTAAGGCATAGGCATCACTTAAGTCAAATTCAGGCCTGACCTGTGGAATTTAAACAGGATTTAAGGAATGCAATGGATCTTAGCACAGGGGAGAATTTAGCTACAGTGAAGCTTTTATAGATCAAACACCTAGATCCATAGTGGTACCAAACTCAAAGTGAAACCAGTGGGAATTAGGGACACAATTAGAGTTAAATTTTGGGTCTGAGTGCATTTCCTTTAATAGCGGTAAATATCACTTAGTCAACCCTAACTTGATTCAAATTAGTGCAGCAGTGGCAAGTCAGCACAGACATACAGGATCGGCTCTTCAGTTGGAGTTTCCATTTGGCTGGTGCAAAAACATTGGTGAGAAATGCAGAATCTGAAAAAGTTGCATGGAAGTGGACGCTGCAGAATAAGACCATTGCCCCTCTGTGGAAACACTGGTTCCTCATGGCTGGAGAAGTGCTGCTGAGTCCATCTGCACCCACAGGAGCCCCAAGCCATTAGTCAAAGCCCTTGAATTCTTGGCTGTTAGCAGTGATAACTCCAGAACTGAAATTACAGTAGTCCCTCCTGGATGTGCTACCTTAAGCAGGAGTGAAGAGTGCAAAGGACTGTGGATCGGCGTACGAATGATTGCGTGTGTCTGTCTGCTGGGCACGTGTGAAAAATGAGAGGTTTCTTAGTGGAAACCCACCCTGGATCTTGCTGCTGGAAACTGTTACCTGAGTAACTTGGCTGATCAGTCATTTATGTCAACTGTATTTTACCTGCAAGCACTCGCTGGGATACTGAGAATCACTGTCAGACTTAGGTCCCATAATGCTAATAATGTGTTCATATGTGATAGCTGTAGTGCACAGGAAAGACTTACTGGTAGCAAGTGCCGGTCCTTTATCGCTTGCCTCTTTTGACTGCAGATTGCAGGGAAGGGAGGAAAGGGGGGAGCCACCACAGAGATGGAGCCTTGGACTTTTTGCTCTCTGTTATCACCTCGGTTTCGATGCTCTGCTTTGGAGAAGAAGAAATAAGCCATGAGTCTTTCAGAGCACTGAAAATATGTACGTGTCTTTACTAACAATGAAATTGGGAGATGACTAGGACGCAGAATCTAATGATGAAGTTTCTTCATCTCTTTTTCACTGACATTACTTATTATCATTGTTGTAATTGAAGAGGAGAAGCATATCCCAGACTCCCACGCCCCTGGAAATGCTACACTGCAGTGTGCCTACTGAAGCTGAATTCTCCCCAAATGGGACTTTACCCTTCATTCCTAGTGTCTAACTTCTAAGTGCTTGGGATCCAAGATTCCAACTGAGTCATGAAGCTTCTGTCACCTTGAAACATCGGGATGTACATTAAGGCCTGCACTTAATAACGATAAACAGTCTCAAATATACCCCTCTGAGGGGAAAGAAGAAAACAGAGTCCCAGGTAGGATCTCCTTGCTTGGCTTGACAGCTGCACCAGGTCCTGCATGCTAGCTTGGCATCTTGAAGGTTGCTGCTGTGGCAGCTCCTTGTCCAGAACTACTTCTGGTTAAATAGATAAAGAGATAATGAAATTCTGATAGAAGAAATAGGCAGGACACAACAAACATGTTTAAAGTGAATTTCAGAACATAATTTCTCTCCAAAATATGCAATCGTTTAGAAAATAAAATAAAGCAATACATGACAAAGTGCCTTGCTGCCACTAAACAGGGAGGATGGGAAGTCACCAAAACTGCAATTTGTTACTTTAAAATGATTAGGCATTTTCTGTTAGCTGCCTTCCCAGGTGGGTGTCAGGATTTTTCCTGCCCACAAGATGGCAGATGGAGATCAGCCTGCTGCTGGGACAATTGCAAAGCAGATCTGCTAAGAACAGAAAAGCCAAATTCTGCTCTAATTTTAACACTACTGTGACTGCAATTCCTCTTTATGGCTCTTTGCAGTGCTATGAACACATACGGCACCTACAAGGTGTTTCTGAGTTAAAATCTGCAGAGAGGTTCAAATGTGGTAATTAATTGGAACATTTTATCCAGCTAACAGATGCTGCACAGATCCTAGTAATCGATTATTATTATAACCTAATAATAGTAATAAATGAGCAAGAAAATGATAGCTGTTGATGCAAAACACCTCCAACACAGGAGGCTGCTGCTGAACATTTTAAAGGTGACCAGCATGGATTTTCTCCTCTTTTATTACACAGAAGAAAGAGAAGATTGCTTGCTTGCTTTTACTTACTTCCTGTTAAAAATTTTCCCTCAGGTAGGTTGCCAGTGAAAGCTAACCTTCCCCCATCTTTGGCCTTCCCTGTAGCGTGCTGTTCAAGGATCATCCAGATGTTTTCACCTAGTAAATTCCCTTTACGGCAGGGATCCAGGAGACTTTGTTTGCTCCCACTCCCTCCTTGCATCATGTTACAGTTTTTGAGGCTACAGATCCCAAGTTTGCTATCCAGTATTAGGAGGTGTTCCCTAGCTTGGAGAGAGGATAGCTACTAGATCTTGGAGAGAGGATAGCTACTAGATCAAGCCACATGGGGTATCACATCTGGCTCTCAGCTGCCACCCTTGAAGGATGCAAGTCTCCTCCAGACCTGTATGATGCTTGCAAACCCCCTACAGACATCTCAGTTTCAATGGAGCCTCTCTAATGCCACTAGGCTCCTTCCAGTTTTAGCTGTTGGGAAGTCAAGCCTTATCTGACCTAGAACTGAGGCATTGTTTAACATCTGTTTAGCACAGGGAGACAAGAAAAACATGCAGTGCCTCAATCCTTTTGGGGTAGGTGTGTGAATTTGCTCACATATACCATTCAGACATGTCCAACAAGGTTTCCAGAAGAGCTATGGAAAACCAGAGTTAACTTACTTAGTATTTCCATGGATTTTTATTTTGTTTACTTTTTTAATAGAAAAAAAAAAGAAAGTAGACTATCAAACGGAAAAGCAAAAAGTGCTTTTCAGCTCTACTCTAAATAAGCCAGAGGGCATGAGCCTTTTGAGCTGACAGAGTTTCTTCTTTCCCCAGCATGATTTGCTAGGCTGAGTGCCTAAGTACCAGCGGAGACGAGCGACACAGCCCTACCCATGTGCCTGAGCACCCCTCCGTTGCCTTCAGGGGAGCATGGCAAGGCCTCGTGCTTGCGTGGCAGCAGAGCCCAAGTGTGTGCAAGCACCTACCTCTGTGCAAGGCTCGCAGGTTCTGCTTGGCGTGGTGGTGCAGCTCCTCTACGCACGGCGGCCTTGTGGAGGGGAGGAAAATATTTCTTTGCTGATGCCAAGGTGCTCGGTAATAGACACTCACTTTGCTCTCTGCATCCAGGTTGGAGACAGCTGTAGAATGAAAACAAAACCCAAGGTAAGACTTTTAGCCCCTGTTATATCAATTTAGCTGAAAAGCAAAGGATCTTACTTGGAGTTGAAGTACCAAGAACGAGCACTGAAGATGTTACCTCTCCTCCCACTGAATAATAGTGACTATTATATTCTCGGTGTTTCTGTACTACAGAATACCACAGAGCATGTAGAGAATGCCTTTTTGCCTGATCACAAATGGCTGTAAGGAGGAAAGTAGATGCAATGATCAACATTAAATGCACGGACTAAGGAATAATAATTTTATAAATGGCTAAATGAAAACACAAAGAAGCTAAGCAATGATCACACCACAGCATCTTAAGCCATGGCAGAGAGAGGAATGGAGCCCCCATTTACCCAGGCTCCCTACCAGTTACTTAGTCTCACTGCCAGTCTGCTATCTCACTACATTATGCTGTATATTACTAATTTATGACACGGTTTGCTGGCTCATTGCCTTTCAGTGCATAAAGACAGAGATTAAGTGGCCATGCTGCTGAGCAACTTTTAACTGTAGTCTATCAAAAGGGGTTCTCTTAGCAGACCAGGATTTTTGAGGGACAGAAAAATTTCAGTTCCTCTAAATCTCAAGAGACTTCCTGGGAAAGTTACATGAACTAAGTCCATTTAAGGAAGGAGAGAATTTCTCAGGAACTACAGGAACTCGTGGGAGATGAGTTTAACCTCAGTGTGTTCAGTAATTAGTTTTGCGAGGGAGAAAATACACAACTCTGCAGTCAGGAGGTCCAAAGCCCTAGGACGGCGGCAGAGAGCAGACTTGTCCCACTGTGCCCGTGGCCCACAAGAAAAAGCAATGTACTTTGTACGTCCCCAGCTCTAGTGCTGGGCTTGTTCCTCCTTCTGTAGGCTTCAACACCAAGGGTTTCTGAGCATCTCCTGCTTGGCCACGTGTGTCTCTTGTAAAGCTAAGGAGCTGCTCTATTTTGCTTACAGGCCAGCACAAAATGATTCAGGAAGACTCTCACCCCCAGAAGGAAGGATAGAGGTAACTTATAGGGGTCTCCCAGCCCAGCCGAGAAGCCAAAGAGCCAGCGTGTTTTGAATCAGTTTCTCCCTTGGGAAGCACGTTCCTCTCCCTTCACCTCATCTCCCCCAGCAGCACAGTGCACCCAGTCTTGTTCTCCTTCCTCTCTCCTACGTCTGGAAGGAGACCCAGGAGGAGCTGCAAAAAGTGGAGCACAAGTGACCTCAATCTCAGCACTGTCTGGCGCAGCAGAAGACTCCTTTCAAGGAGGTGTAAACAGTGGTTTGTAGCCACAAACCAAAAAGTGGTTTGTAGCTCTGCATTACTGACTTTGCCTGTGTGTAGCCCCCTTCTCAAGCCTCTGTCTTGTCCACTTAGAGGATGGGCATTTCACAGCACGGACCTCCCCTTATATTGTTTTTATAATTCCTGGCAAATGCAGTTCTCAGCTGCTTGCCTGGCAGAGCCCTAGGCACTGCCATGATAGAAGGAGAAGAGATGTCATGAGACACTGCTGAGCAGGAGGTGAAGTTGGAGAACAGAGCGGTTGGCAGCAGGACGGCCAAAGCAGTATATTCTCTCCAGCTATGGAATTAGCCTAGTTTGGGGCTCTTAACTCTCCAGGTTTTTGCACTCTCTGAAATGCCCTTTCTTGAGGGGAAGTGAAGGCAATATGTCAGAGAGCTGTTCTCTGGTGGAGCAGTTTTGCTCTTTCTGATTTTTTTGGTTTCTTTAATGCAAAAAACCACTCACTCAGACTGAAGGCATATTGGTGTTTGGTATTGAAAAAGGAACTGGAAATGCTACAAAGGAACTGTAAAAGTACAGTAGAAGAAGAAGAAAGAGGGAGCAGACACCAGGAGAGAAACCTAGGAACCATGCTGCCATGTGCAAGAAGTTGCCAGACTTTATAGGCTTCTGTGATGAAAAAAAAAAAAAACCAAACCCAAACCAGGTCATAAAATGTTGTGGATGTTAGAAAATGAAATTAGTGGTATAATATGGTGATGGGCCTGCTGGAGTTCAGGTTCTAAAAGCTTCAATGTCACTGAACAAAATCCAAATTCTGAGTCCAGTAGGAAGCCTCTCTTTGCTTTTCAGTGCACTTTTGCAGTTGGTTTTCACTGTTTTTGCAGTGCTACGTCCATGCAACTGGTCATGTTGTCGTACATGAATGCACTGGGGTAAGAAAAAAACGATTGGTGGTGTGGGTTTTTAGGATGAATGACAGGAATGTCTAGGTGTTAATCCTGAGCATTTACTAATTACATTGTTAACATCATAATAACATAATGTTGCCAAATGGCAAGCAGAACTTTTGACGGCTTCTCTGTCTGCCACCGCTGCAGCAGGTGAATATCTCACTATCATTAGCTGATTTCATATTTCCTTTACCTCTTGAGGGTAAGGAAGTACTATTCCTATTTCACAGACAAGGTACCAAGACACAGAGTAACTTGTCCAGATCCCATCTATCAGCCGGAGTCCTAGCACATTGCCTCTTTGGGAAGCTAAAGGCAGGACAAAAATTTCTAAGTGATAGTAATGATACTCCACTCATTCTTTATATCACCGAGGATATGTGATATTCATGATCACAAATTGTGCGCTGGAGACTAACGAAACGTCAGGCACAAACGGTTCCTTCGTGCTCCCAGAAAAAAACTGTCTAGACTGCAGCTCTAGTAGCTGTCTGTGATGGAGTTAAATTTTTAAGTGAGTGGAAAGTTTTACCTACTTACGAAATGTTCAGACACATTTCATTAGAATAGAATAGATTTCCACTGCAAATTTTAACTTGCGTAAAGCTCTCTTGGCTTCGGCAGCAGCGCTTTACAAGTGAGAGTAGGAGTTGGTTTAATATACTTTGTGTGAGGCTTAAAAGAGAAACCAAGCGAATACAATTCTTCTAGGCACCGGCTGTTCTAGGCACACATTGCTGTTCACAGATAAAATAGCACGACCTCTGCGCCATCCAAGAAGATGCACCCTTTAGCAGGCAAACCTCCAAAGTTGTGTATAGTGCTGTACCAGAAGAAAAATAAAGAGCAAATACATTGCTTATCTCCAAATGATAGGGCACTAAGAAGCTTACAGTACCTTGTGCCATGGCCCCAGCTATGTATCTTCTCTTCGTTTCCTACGGTAGCTCTGATTCAGTGTGTCAGAGAATATGCCCCACTGACACCCAGAAATATTTCACAGTGTGCCCTGAACAGTCCTTTAAAATATGGAAAAGCTGGAGTGGATTTTTCTAGAAGGCCAGAATAGAAACTAAAAGATCTGACAAGAAAGCTGCGAGGGGGTGAATGTTCTCTGTCTGCAGCGCGGGGAGAAGCTTGCAGGGAGGGAGAAATGCTGGGGAGGGTAGAAGACAATGCTGGCCCAAGGACAAGTAAGTATAAGCTTGCCACAAATAAAATTAGGCTGGATACTTGAAGACTATGTCCCAACTTTAGAGCAGCAAAGTTCTGGAACAACCTCCCGGAAAGGGGGAAGACAGTGAGAAAGCTCACCAAGAAATGACAGAGCCTGAAACGTTTCTGCAGGGGATCAAAAGACATGATGGGGCCTGTCATGAGAGGGACCAGCTTCTGCTGCGGTCTCTCCGGCTGTTATTTAGCCTGTGGTCCTCCAGTTGCATCTAGCTGGGCCCCTTCTAAGGGTTTGGGTGCAGCCCCCGGGACAATTGCTGGCAGTTGAAGCCAGCAGATGCAACTACAGGACTGGACTGCTAGCTTTCAGGACCCCTGAATGTCTTATTTTGTCTTATTACTTGCTTTCACTCAGTGATTTCCATTGCGGCTGTTTTCATAGTGCCTAGCCTGAGCGTTGCTGTAGGCTCTGAGTACCATCATCATATGCATAATAAATAAAGCAATACAGAAACTGTAAAGCCACAGTCTTTAAATTATTAACGACTGGACATCAAAGTGAATGGGAAAAACATCCTCTACATAAACAGGAAATACAGCATTTCAGGCATCACATATAGCTTGTTAATATATTTTTAGTGTGTGCTTTGATCAATTTAGAATATACAAGTGAATTGTGCAAACAATCATGTTCATTTCATTCCTGAGTTAAAGTAATTGTTTTTTTTTTGTCTTGTGGGATGACAAAACGGCAAGAGACCATTTAAATGGATTCTCCATTACATTTTGTGGTTCCATTAACGTTGGCTGGTTTCCTGACAACCAAACAGACATACTCTAATAGCTGTTCTCATGAGAAGGTTTTTGAAGGTTTCCAAATAGCTGTTCTATCAAAGTTGATCATATTTATCATTTATAGACCCTTCTCATATCCACATCCTTTCTTTCACTCTCCCTCCCACCTTTAACAAAGCAAAAAAAAAAGATCCTGCCATAGCAGAGCTGGATGTAGACGCTTGAAGGCTGTGCAGCTTTAGTGCACTCAGGCGTGCTTGTTCTAATAATAACACCACAAAGGCCAAGCAAGAAAAATTTCTGCTCTATTTATTTGATAGATGCAGGGGTTTCCCCCCTGCAACTCCGTCTGCTTCTCTAGATGCATGCCTCTCCCCATGCCTCGGCTCCTCTGTTTCTCAACTTTCTATTCTTTTTTTATGTATTACTACAGATACCATTGATACCATTGGATGTCAGGGGGAAAGAAAGAAAATTTCCTGTGCTTCCTGGTTCAGCGAGAAAGCACAGTTTGGTGTAAGGTGTGAAAAAGTGCAGAGCCTGGAGGGGATTTTAGTGGAGCAAGAGGAAGGCACCTACACGCTGAAGGACAGAAAGCCCAGAGCTATTGTGCCACGAACTCCCACACGAGAGAAGCTGAACCTGCGGCTGCTGAATCCTTATTAAAGCATCTGCCGTCCAAAAGACAAAAATCACAATTAAAGAGGTTCAGGCGAGCGAATAAGCCTATTGCTGAGCTGAGCTATTCTCATGAGAGGTTCTAATGACTCAAGCCCACCCCTCGTCTGCAGGACCCAGAGCAGCTGGAGGCAGTGAGGGCT